TCCTTTTATCAGCAAAGGTCTTCTTCTTTTACAGTCCTCACTTTACTGTATCCTCCAGAAGCCTACGTAGCTACCTCATACTCTAGAGCAGCGGACAAGACAAGGACCAATGTTTTATAACGGGCTAAGTGGAGTGTTTTCTGCATCTCATAGCCACGGAGTCAATCAACAAATGTTTGGACTGCCAAACATTCCATTATGTTTTCTGGAGATGATGGGTAAGCAAACCGTACCAAACTGGCAATATCTTGAAGAGCCTCGTCTCATTTCTGTTTGCGATTCTTTAACTGTGATTGGTATAGATGCTCCAAATGTTCATGGCCATTTCACATGTTAAGTCTCTTTTTAAGTTGTTCAAAGTCATCGCCCAGGCAGCAGACTGACGTCATTATGACATCTTATTTTCGTCATACAGGACGTCATTTATCCTGTGAAAACTAACGTGATAATGACGGTAAAATGACGTGAATATGTCACAGCCTAAATGACGTCTTATTTAGACGCCCTTTTCACGTCTAAATATGACGTGTTTATGACGTTGTTTTAATGTCACCTTTGTCGTTATTCTTTATACTTATTTGAGACGTCACCATAACGTTACATTTGATACTGTTACTCCTTTGTAACTTTTCTGTAGGAACTGTGGGTCACTTAATAAAACAAAATTAAAAAATGAAATAATTATAATTAAAAAGAAAATAGTTTAAATACATGAAATGTTATTGGCAAAAAACATTAATTTATATAAATCCAACTGCTCCAAATGTGGCCAACTGGTTCGTTATTATTTTGGTTTGGCACAATGATTTTTCTGAGTACCGCCATTTTATACTATTTCACGAACCTTGGAACATTTTAAGAAACAACCTATGAATGTAAAAGATATAAAATCTTTAAAGAATAAGGATAATATAAATATAAAAATACCTTATGCTGGGTAGATACTAATATAACTTTTTTCACTGACCCTCTTAACTTTTAAAAACAATCCTGAATGCACACGGGCCACGATCCACGATGCACACACCATTACACATCACATGGCCGTGGCCGATGCAACAATCTGCGATACCGTTCTCGTGCTTGCTCGAACGACTCGAACATACGCGAGCCATACTCCACAGACCGATAACCATAGACAGACGCAGACATGTGTCACGTGGTATCATCAGTCTTTTATGCATTTAAGCGCCAAATTTAAACGTTAATAGACCTAACAGTTTTAAAAAATAATTGTTTAGGCCATATTATTTTACATAAATAAAATGTATTGAAATCACGTTTAATATAAACCTTAATTTAATAGTGACAATAAATTGACGTCACACTGGCGTCGAATTTGTGACGTCAAAAAGACGTTAAAGAAGTGACGTTATAATCACCACATTTTTTGGTAACATGACGTCGATGACCAAGAATTACCAAAAAATGTCGTCAAAATGTCGTCAGTCTGCTGCCTGGGCGGTCTCTTCCACGGGTATAGTCTGAAGGACATCTAAAGCATCTCCTCGAAGGGCGATAGTCAAATTTACTGCCTTCTCTCGTTCAGACCATTCGTTTGCTCTGGCAGCTGTTTCCAACTGTTTAAGGTAGTTGGTCCATGACATCTTTCCGTCAAAAATTTGGGCTTTAACACGAGCAGAATTTACAGCTCCTTCCAATTTCAACTTCGACTTCACCTCATGGCACTTTATTTCATCTTTATTTTGATATAGTAGGTGAGTTATGTCCAGGCCGTTGGTGTTTATGCCGGTCGGCGTAGCCAGGTATGAATTGTAATTTTCTGGTGGCGGCGAAGCCGCCACCTTACGAGAAGTCATTACTTCGTCTTCTTGTTGTCACGGCATTATTATTATTTGTTCATGTATGTGAAATTTGCTTCTAAGGTTTATAAAATACTACAGAAAAATACTTAAGTCTTCCACTCCATCATCTGAAATAAAGTTAGGTTAGAATTATGATATACAAATTATGGGGGATACATCTGATGTACAAATAATGCGTGTACTTCCGATGTACTGCTAGTCACGGCGTTTATTTTATCATCTGCCCATCAGTCACCAGTTAGAAACAAGTCTATATTATATTATTATATTATTATTATAATTATAGATTTGAGTTGTTGGTTTTTGATATTCATGCGTTGTGAACTTGTTATATGGGAAGCAGAATATGTCTTTAGAAATTAAGGTGAGAACTACATAAATAATGCTTGCTTAGGTGGATCTTCATGTCTTGTTTAGACATGTGTATTGTTTTATTATAGTTAATTTTAAACAATATTAATAAAACTATTGTTAATCAAATAATTTGTATAAATCCTTTTTAACTAACTATATTTTGTTTTAGACTAGTGCATTTAAAGGAATTGGTGGAAATAAAGCAATTTGCCAGCTTTGGGGCTGTGCCAATAAAAATAACAAGTTATTCAACGTTTCCAGAATAAAGTATTAAGGAACATCGTCGATGCATTCTGGTACTGCTTTAATACTGATCTTCATAGGGACCTTAAAGTGGAGACTGTTGAAAATACAATACAAGAATTTGCCAGTAGTCACCAACAACGACTGCTCCAACATGGAAACCTTGAGATTATCTAGCTCAACAATGACAATCTAATAAGAAGACTGAAGAGAACCAAGCCTTTTGAGTTAGTTCAGTGATGATGAAGCAGAGTATAGTGTGGTTAAGTGTTATACGTTAACGGTAGTTTAACTAAATAATTAGACTCTTAAAGTACACTATATAGTGAGTAGAATTTTTGTTTATGAAGTTTTTCATCCTTAGATAAGTTAGGTAAAAATAAAATTGCTAATTGATCTTAATGATTAGATTATAATAATCGTAAATGTTTCTTTACTTGGAGCATTTATTAAAAAAAAACCTAGTTGTTTCAAATTAGTGCATTTAAAGGAATTGGTGGAAATAAAGCAATTCATTTCTATATTTTATGAAATATTCTTTAAAACATATTTATTTATTTGTTTATTTAAGAATCAATGTTTGAGTTTTGTGTATTTTAAATAAACATGTATATTTTTAAATGTCTTTTTTAGTCTAATAATATATTAGAAAAAAAAAAAACTAGAATACATTTCTGAAATATTACTATTTAATATTTCTAATTTTCATTTCAGAAATATTACTGTGAAATATTATATTTATAGGACATTTTTACGTTTCAGGCATATTTCAAAAATGTTTCTGGGATGTTTCGTAATATTTATACAACATTGCAAATGTTTCAATGTAACATTGTTGAAATATTTCTGAAATGTGTTTGTGCTGTATGGGGTTATATAGATTGATCATCCATATTTTTCAAAATAAACATAAGCTTTTAAGTAAAAATGAAGGTAAATTTTTTTACTATATTCAAAGGCTGAAAATTGGTTACTATATAGACACATTTTTATTAAACCGGTTCTGATTTATAACTATATATGTATCATTAACCCTCACAATGATAACAGGCCTACAAGGTTGCCATATCTAAACTGTCAGTACTCACTTGTCAGCATTTTGACAGGTCGTTGGAATTTCTAATGTCTAATTAGGCATTCCAACGACCTGTCAAACAATATGTGCCAGTGGGAAATTCTTGTATATCTAAGTGGGTAGCGACATAGTCTTGCAACTTGGACGCTATTTTTATTCGAATTAGTAGTCGCCAAGCCTGCCAATTTATGAAGAAATGTATAGGTAGGTTTCTAAATATTATTTTTATTGTGTTTGACATAAAATATTTAAATGTAATCCATTATTCATGATTTTACTAAAAGTAGATAAAATACACCGTATGTCACCACCCTTAGATATACCAAACCTTCCCACTGGCAATTCATTTATTTGGAATGCCTAATTGCTGCCATGTCAGTGTGCTTATGTCAAATAATTTATAGCAATTATTGTAGGTACGTAGTATTAGGTATTCCAATGACCTGTCAAACAATAGGTGACAGTAGTCGCCAAGCCTGCCAATTTATGAAGAAATATATAAGCGGGTTTTATAAATATTATTTTTATTGTGTTTGACATAAAATATTTAAATGTAATCCATTATTCATGATTTTACGTATAGTAGATATAATACATCGTATGTCACAACACTTACAGCCGTATGCATAGTCGATCGCCAGCGACTCGCCAGCGATTCGCTGGCGATCCGCCGGCGAAAGCCCAAAAAGCTGGCGACTCGCCGGAGATTTTCACTGGCGAATGTCATTTCACGCAAGTTTTCCCGTTCTTTTATAGGGAAAAATTTGATATTTGTTCATTATTTTTTGAGTTTTAAGAAATGAATCATGAATAAAATGCGAGAGATACCGGTGATAATCCCTATAAAAGAAAATAAAAACTTGCGTGAAATGACATTCCGGTGACAATCTCCGGCGAGACGCCACCTTTTTGGGCTTTCGCCGGCGGATCGCCAGCGAATCGCTGGCGAAACGCCGGAATGAATCTCTGGCGAGTCGCTGGCGATCGACTATGCATACGGCTGTAAGATATACCAAACCTTCCCTCTGGCAATTCATTTGTTTGGAATGCCAAATATTTAAAAGTTGTCCTTTTCGATTAGGTATGCTATCTGTCCGAAAAATGACGTATTATGACAGATTCGAATAAAACCTACCATTTTATTGTAAAACATTTTTTTAAACAGAACCCATTCCTCCTGCGTCCAGGTGGATGGACCACTTTTGACATATTTATATATGCCAACCATTGAACCCTTAATGATTTGATAATAGATATTTCAAAAAGGAAATACCTAAATATAAATAGTGCATCTCTATACCAACAATTTTTTAATAAAACTTGATTGTTAGAGCTGGCGACACGCGAGTAAAAAATTACCCATTACCACCCACTCTCCCCCATATGATTGTTAGGGTGCCAAAATCTGTTGCAAATTTTTTTTACCATCCACCCCGTATACAATTTAATTATAAAACAGTAAAGTTCCAGTTTGTGCGTTTGTGTGAATATATGCAAGCGAGCAAAGCCGACAAATCGACGTAAAAACTCGACGCCGCTCTTGCCAAACGAACCGCTCGTCCTAAGGTACATCGCACACAAGCACACGTTGCGTTAACTAACCAACTAGTAGACAGGACAGGTCCAGGTCGTAAACCCGTCTAGAACAAACCAGAAAACCGCGTTTCGCTCTTTCGCTGTACATCCACTCCCCTGTGCCTGTCTGTCAAAAGAAACAGTCGACTCCCGTTACCTAGCAACCAGTAACAAGTGTTCTACTCACCGCAGTAGGTATATCGCTATTTACGGTTGTGTTTTGTGAAGTGTCAAAAAGTTTAAAAAAAGTTTAGTTGAATATTTTCTTTAAAAAAATATGGCTAGTTCCCCCGGTAAAAATGCCGATAATGGTGTTGTGGAGTTTCAGTTTTATAAACCGGATAACAGGACTAAGTGGGAAGCCTTTCAGAAAGCTATTTATGATAAATCTTCCAATCAGTTTCTTGGAAGGACGCCAAAGAGTTGGGGTAAGTGAAGTGTAGAAACAGTTTCGTCAGTTTCGGCGCATGATAGGCTTTTCCTATATTTTTTTTGTCTTATTTCAACGTTCTACACAAAACCAATAAAAATTAAATTAAAACTCAATTTCAAAATGTAATTTATCGATTTAATGTAGAATATGCATTAGCAACTAATTTCGGCTAATGAGGACCACAATCATTCCTATAAAATAATAAACAAAAATTTTACGGCAAAATCCAAAATAAATTTCCGGTTTTGGGACTTCTATGATTTCTTATACAGGGTGTTGCTCTACAGTTAAAAAAAAATTGATAGAGGGACATGGTTTTAAATTTTTAAAAAAACAAAATTTTGAAAATGTATCTATAGGCTAGAGGCGCGCTATCAGGCTTGGTGGTTGAGGGTAGGGTTACCAGATTTTTCTTTTAACATAAAGGGAACAAATGAACAAAATAGTAGAAAAAACGGATTTCTTTTATTTTCCGAGATAAATAAAATAAAACAAATACCTAGGTGTTTTAATAAATTTTTATTTAAACTCAAAAATACAATTTATTTTGCATATACGAATACTTTGAAGAAGACTGCGTAAGGTTTAGAAAATTTTTGTTGTGTTTTACTTATTTATAAAAATCTATACAACTAAAATTATAATTAAAACACGGGATGTTCCGATAAATACGGGACATCGGACGTCTGGCAAATCTGGCAATCCTAACTGATGGCAAACTTTTACCCCCCCTATTATTGTTCCAAGGACAAGTTTCACAAATGCATGCATTCAATGAAGATAGATGTTTATCATTTAAAGTTATTGGTACATTATTATAGATAAATTTTAATTACATAAACAGTGTTTTATTAACATAAATATTCTAGATCAATTTTATACTTAGGTCGTTTTAATAAAAAAATTTACACCCACATAATAGTTATTAGCTTATATAGGCACATACTACAAAACGAAAAAGTATGCTGTTGCGTTCAACTGAACGAATATATTTCATATCCATTCCAGGTAGTGAGAACACTGCAAAAAAATGAAATCCACATATTTTGGACACCCAACTACTATTATTATTCTTAAAATTTTAAATTTATGTAAGTGACAATTTTTTCAAACTAATTGTCAGTATATTTTTTAGTTATTTAGACTAAATATATTTTAAAATGAGTTATTTTTGTTTAGAATAGATAAATAATAGCATTTTTATTTTTATTTGGGCCACATTTTGAAAAAAAAAATAAACGTTAAAGTATATGATACTAATTTAATTACGAGTATTAAACTAAAAATGGCCCGGGTTCGAATCTGGGCACGGTACTATTTTTTTTATGTTTATTTTATAAATTAGTAAAATTCATAAATTATTTTAAAATTAGTTATTTTGTCTTAGTAACGTAAAATATTTTTTTAAATTTGTAGATTTTAGTTAGAGGGTCGTAGAAAAAACATACTGTACAACTCTTGTTGCACAAACTACTAATCCTTGTCAAGGTCAAGAAACATTTTGTCATTATTTTAAACAACTATAAATCGTTATAACTAAGCTACGAGTATATTATTATTTGATCAGGTATGAAGATTATAAGAGTTGGCATTCGTTTGTCCACAACTTGTCCACGATTTTCCAACAAAAACAAAAATTTTCATTTGCCATCCTTCAAAAAAAAGTTATAACAAAATTAAAATTTGAGCCAAATTTAACATCAGAGGTATTTTAAATATTTAAATCAAAAGAAAATACTCAATATCTTATCGTAAAGTTAGGAAGTAATGTTATCTCAGTACATTTTTCAAAATTTGATAATATTTATATTTAAGTATATATTTAATTATTTTTTTTATGAATTGTCGGCATTTATAAATGCTTTATAAAGCATGATAAATAGAGAGTTATTGCAAGTTCTCATTAACGCGATCTTATTTTGACATCTGAGCATGCGCAGGTCATTAACGTTTTAGAACTGACTTTATTATGATCACGTGATTCGTGATTCAATATACTTAAATGTAGTACGACAGATGTGTCCTATGTGGATAAACAAACGCTAGAGATGTAAAAAATATATCGGATGTGAATATTCAAACGTAGCAATAATGGGGCATGTTCAAAAATTTTGAAATTTTTTTTATGAATAAGTAATAGAGTTAAAAATAAAACTACATTTTTTTTATTTTTTTTTATCTATTCATTTGCCGGTGTTATGAATTTTTTTAAAATTTATGACGTCACCGGGAATAGACCAATAGGAACTAGCGCACAACGTTGCCGGCTAGAAGGTTTACGAGAAGTGATGTACGTTCGTTTGTGTACTTGTGTCACAGTGATAAATATTAAAAACAACCAAGTTCAGTTGAATGTGGTAGCAAAGTCTATATATTCCAATAAATCGGGTAACTACATTTGGTATCACTGGTGATAAATTTAAAAATATCACAATTCTTGCCACCTTTTTCAAAAAACCAGAAAGTGTGCCTTCTTATCAATCCTTTATGAAAATGACAACAGTGATAAATGTGAAAAAAAAATTTAATGTTGCTATTCGTTATTACGATAGTAAAACATGTTTGCAGTTCCGTTTATTTTTTATGAAAATCTAAGTAAAAACAACCAATGTCAAATGTTTTTTCTATCGAACCAAATATATCACAAAATTAAAAATTGATCATAGGTCAAGCTAAAGTAATACCTTTACTGATAGTAGCTTTAAAAAAGGAGAAAGAATGATATTGACTTAAGTTATTATTATTAACATTGGTGATTTTTAATAAAAACTCTTCAATTTTTGTTTACAAACAAAAATATAAAAATCTGTGAAAATTTTATTTATTAACCTTTTAATAAAAAATGAGAAAAATGAAGTAAAAAACAATTTATTTACAAATAAAAAATATATATACAAATCCTAAGAATATAAAAGTACTGATTTATTTTCCTGTAGTGGATGAAGAGGTTTCTTTAACAATCTAGCCAAGTGTACATCAATATTTACGCATTTTGATAAATTAGAGCCTTTCCAATAACAATGAGTAAATGTTACAGATGGTTCCTCACTTCTTCTATGAAGCCACATATTTACAACCACCTGAAAAAATAAAAGGGTTAGATATGCAGTTTCAAAATAACTATATAACCAGCTACAAAATGCCTTATTTTATGTAACAAGACGAGCAGAGCTTTACTAGCTCTGAACGAATCCAGTAAAGAACCTCGGATTTTCAAAACTTAAAAAAAAAACAATCTCACCACATTTTCACATTTTTGAAAAATAGAGCTTTTCGAAAAAAACTGCTATTTTTAAAAGTACAATTTTTTGTTTAAACAGCTATGTCTCATTTTAGGCTATTGAGTATTATAAATTAAAAAATTACGGGATGCTTTGTTAGCTTCTAACGAATCCAGCAGAGCACCCCAGTTTTTTTTTAAACCACACCACGTTTTTTGGCTCCTACAATATTATAAAATATTCGAAATTTGGCATTTTTAAAAAAATTCGCAATTCCTTGCTGACTTCAAAGTTTTTTTTCTGAAAACAAATATACTTACCACATTTTTAGGATTTTAAAATAGCCTAAACATGTGTCATAAGTAGTTGTTTTTATATACAGTGTGGAAACCACTTATGGAATAAAATTCTTTATGTCATTATTTTAGAAAATTATAAAAAATGCCGAGACATGTCAACTTTTGAATTGAGTTGTGCGTTATGTAAACATAAATTTAAATGTACAGGGTGATTCACGCAAGTATGCCATAGTCGGTGTTGTTTTTTTTTTAATGAAACACCCTGTATATTTGCATACATACATTATTCAGTTTGTTGGAATCGGTTCATTAAAAGGATTTCAAAAATATGCAAATATACAGGGTGTTTCATTAAAAAAAAACAACACCGACTATGGCATACTTGCGTGAATCACCCTGTACATTTAAATTTATGTTTACATAACGCACAACTCAATTCAAAAGTTGACGTGTCTCGGCATTTTTTACAATTTTCTAAAATAATGACATAAAGAATTTTATTCCATAAGTGGTTTACACACTATAAAAAAAAAACAAATTAAAAACTGAAGTGTCCTGCTGACTTTGTTCCAACAAAGCACCCTGTATTATTTAAAAATAGCAATTTTTTTAGTAAAGTTTTACAATATTTCAAGAGTCTAAAAATATTCTAAAAATGGGGTGTGGTTTTTAGAAAAAAGCTTTAAAAAACCGAATTGCTCTGCTGGCTTCTTTCGAAGGTTAGCAAGCACCATGTATTTTTTAAAAATATAATATTTCAAGTGCATAAATATATGGTGTTGCTGTTTTTACAGAAAAAAGTTTATAAAACAGAGGTGCTTTGCTGACTTCGTTCGAAGCTATCAGAGCATTTTAAGTTTTGCAAAAAACGAGGAGCATAAAATTTTTGAAAAGGGTATAAAAATAGCCTAAAAATATGGCATATTTTTTAACTCAAAATTTCATAGGTGCTCTGCAGCATTCTTTGGTATCATAATTATTACTAGGTTCACTAACAAAATCTATTTCTAGATTATTTTAACACTTGCTGCGATTACAAAAAATGTCTATATGTCAAAATTAGAAAAAAAATATTTATAGGAATAAAGGGCCTTATACACTGTTTATTATATGTGATATAAAAACAAAAAAGCATAATAAATATTACAAGCATTGTGCACTAAAAATTTCATTTTTGTTAATTACAACAACCACATCAGAAGGTTTTTGCCGTACTTCATGTTTAGGTGTAATTTGTCTCCTTCTCTCTTATGGAAAAAGAAATTATCCCCATATTCTTGCTTGGCAGATCTAAAAATAAAACCTGAGATAAATATGTTTTACTATAAGGTGTATTGCTCCATATAAACTGTAACTACCTTCTATTAAAACAAAGTCTTACCTTTCTGACTTTTGTAAACTGAGTATTGTTAAAAAATGCAGTAATCACCTCGGTAATCATATTTTCGTTTACAATGGGTAAAACACTTGATTCA